GGGGGGGGGGGGAGTGGGGAAGCAGCCACTCTCCTTGTAGCCTCTAGCAGACGTTATGATGAGACCGACACGAATGACTGCTGCAAAGAAGATACTACTCCCATCGCTACGACACTGCTTTTTTTGTAAATTTAGGAGAAGAACTAGAGTTKTTTTTTTTTTTACATTAATTATAAATTGATAATAAATCGTAGTTTCAATATATTTTTTTGTTTAAACAAAATGAACCCTGCTGTTTTTGCTAATGGTCGCCAGCTGTGCCCAAAGTATTCAATCTAACTCACCGCTGTAGCTTCTAAAAAGCATACTATTTTGTTTAATTTCAAATATTCCAGAAGCTGATTTTAGAAACTTCGACAACATACTCCACCAATCATGACGCAGTAAATCCAAGGCAAATTCCTGCAAGTTCAAGGTAGCCCTTCAGAGCCAACTCTGACCCTTCGGAAATGTTATTCACCCGCCTACATTTATTGAGGACATCATACACAGAGAAGGAATGTACAGCTACTCAATAAACCMCGTCCAGATCCGCCCTTCTAGAAGAGGGAGACAGGTTGTGGATGTAGACTAGGCTAGCAAAAAGCATATGAAAGTGCTGGCAACTCAACGTCTTTCACTCGTATTCTATAACTTTCATGACAAGAAGAACTTGGACACGGAAGAAGCGTACAGCTTAGAAGTGATCGCTTCCCTTTTCAGAATGTCATTCTCTTGAGTACTGTTTTTTTGCCATGCCGATAATCCTTGCACGATTACATAAATATGGATCTTATTTCCATGCAGTCTAAAATATGATATAAACAGGATTGAGCCTTGCTCGTCCTCAGTTTGGGTCCAAGAATATTCTAATTGTCCTTCGACATCACGTGGCATATGGGTTTGTGTTTGGGCCAGTCCTTTACTTGGCACTCCCTACAGAACAATATAGTATCGTATTTAACAAATGAAACAGCTTTTTACTTGCTCCGTTCAGTAATAAAGCACACAGGTGGTGACGTAAGCACGAAGAAGTGTAAGGAGAAGCACGAGCCGTAGCCGTAAGCGCAACCCTTGCAACCCTCGCATCCCTTGCAACCCCTGCAACCCTTGCAACCCCTGCAACCCTTGCAACCCCTGCAACCCTTGCAACCCCTGCAACCCTCACAACCCCTGTAAGCCTCACAGCCCTTGCAACCCTCTGCAACCCTTGCAGCAATAATCTGAAAGTATATTTGCAGCACGTAACGCATGATTCAAATGTGGCAGGATGCGCGACAACAGTGGACAGCATATGACACTTTTGGCTACAACCTTTGCAGCCCTATGAACCAAATGAACCAATGAGAAGAGGCGTTCAGACAGGCACTTGCCTAAAATAATCCCAAACCACCAACATCTGCACGTTCTCTTAGGAGTAAAATTGATATCAAAGAAAAAAGATATAGATTTTYGGTATTTTACTTGCAGCCAAGCTTGCAAGTTTCTAGAGCCCCTTATGCCCACGTCTGTTTTCTGATGAGCATGCGCACTTTACCTTTTACAATACCAGACATTTTGACATCTTGAGCATCTCTTGGCTGCTGCTTTACCACATGCTGCACACTTAGGAGGTTCGCTGATGAGATCTTCTAAAGCATCAAGGTTATAGGTCGCTGCTAGCCTGATAGAAGAAACAATGAAGTTCATAATGGAGCTTTATCACACTACATCATGTTTATTCCCATGTGAATAAGAACCTCTTTTCAACCATGAGTAACCTCACCCAGAGGTGGTTGAATGCGAGGCCATGCACGAGTCAACATGGACTATTATCAAAGTGATAAGAAAAGCTACTCACTTCTGGGCTTGCTTTTTTACTTCATTTTCAGAAGGTAAAAAGTATTCTTTTCTCTGATGTTCTGCTATTTTGTTCCATTTCCCTGTATTTTGCTTCAGCARGGTTTCTCGTATTTCAGGGAGCTAAAAAGAGAGAGAGAGCAAGACAGATTTAGCTAGGGTTTTGTAAACAGTTTCTTAATAGTTCTGACCATTGACAGTGATTAGCTTGTAAATAAYGTGTATCAAAGGTGAGGTCTATAGCAGATTAAGCAAAGCACAGCACAGCACAGCACAGCTCAGGATAACATGGCACAGCACAGGATGACACTTTGCACAGCACATAACATCATGACACAGCACAGGATGTCACGACACAACACAGGATGACACTTTGCACAGCACAGCACAGGATGACACAACACAACACAGGATGACACAACACAACACAGGATGACACTTTGCACAGCACAGCACAGCATATCATGACACAGCACAGCATATCATAACACACCACAGAATATCATGACACAGCACAGCACATCACAGACACAGCACAGGATGACATGACAGTACAGGATGACATGACACAGTACAGGATGACTAATGTTGATATGGTATAGTACCATAGCATCACCATAGCATGACAGTCAGGACTAGTCATCCATACAGTACCTGCTCAAGRACAAGATCCTTCTTGACAGCAGGTGGTTCCATAATAGCAAGATGTTCCAAGTATCGCTGCACGTCAATGAGACTAGGGATCTGGTCCAGTAACACTTCATTAAGATATCCTCTTAGCTGATAACACAAAATAATAAGATTAATGGTTTGAATAAATATGTTTATTATTCATACGGCATAGCACATGATGGCACAGCACATGATGAACAACATAAATATGCTTATAATAAACTATTATTAATCATTATCATAATAATTATCTCAATAAAATTATGGAACAAATTGTCAATATAGAGAATTTTCTGATCAAGTCAAAATTAGGACATCTTACCTTCAGAATTTGTGCTTTTTTGTAGTCGTTCAGCTCATATTTTCTCTGACAGTCTTCTTTCAAAAGAAGATTGAATAAAGCAAGCCATATCTATTGAGCAAAAATGAATAAATAGAAGATTTGTGAGTTCTTGTAAAATCTTCAAATTTTATCAAACCCTAATAGAGCATCTAGGCTGAGCAAAGATAGGGCATGGCTATCTCACAGATAAAAGTGGAATTTGATTARATTGTTAGGTTTTTCAAAGGGARGAAAACCAGAGAAACCAGAGATAAGCCCTGAACCCAAAAGAGAAACCTAACAGTCTCTACTTGCATGTGATGCTGAGCTGTTGATCGAATCCAAGACCCTGTCAGCAAGTGAACCATCGCTACACCACCCATGCTTTTTAAAAACCTAACAAGCTAATATTAATATTCCCTGTCTAAGAATATTAAGGAAGGAAGGAAGGAAGGAGAAAGGAAAGAAGGAAAAAAGGAAGGATAGGAGAAAGGAAGGGAGGGAGGGAGGGAGAAAGGGAGGGAGGGAGGAAGGCAACCAGCATTACCTGTCCATCTGTCTTCGTAAGCTGTAGTCTTTCCCTTTCATCAACAGTTCTCCACTTTGTATCAATAAATTTTTCTAGCTTTCCTGTGACAAGACAATATTTTCAATATTTTCTTTGGACTTAGGCACAGTGCTACAGTTATTGTTTTCTTTACCTTCTTTGTTCCTTCTGACCCAGGGAGGGTTTTCTACTAACTGAACCAGAACAACAGGCATGTCTAAAAGAAATAAAACATTAATTTATTTAACATATACGTTTTTCTCCTCAAGATAATTACTTGGACTGTRTAGGCATTATCTGGTTTWTGGATGGATGGGTGGGTGGATGGTTAGAATGACACAAACCTACTGATGGATGGGTGGGTGGATGGAATGCCAGATGGGGGGGTGGATGGTTAGAATTACACAATTACACTGTAATTATTGATGGATGGGTAAGTGGAAGAAATAACAGTTTTACTGATGGATGGATGGATGGATGGATGGACATGGAATGACAGATGGATGGATGGAATAAGAGATGAACTGATGGTGGGTAGATACATGTACAGGGTACAGGTACTAGATGGTTACAAAATGGATAAAAATGTATTTAAATGAGAAAAGGTTATTTTTCAGAAAAAAATTTCTTACCGTGAGTATTTAGCATTCTTGTCAACACACTATATGGAAGGCTAGCAATGACAAAAGTAATAATAAAATGTTYATTAAATGGAATAGTTCAAACATCAAGGAATTCCATAAAAGGCAGAGCCAAGTTTTATGAAGGGYGGATAGAGCAGTGCGACAGATAAATCATTATCCAGTGTCATCCAATAAATTTATCAACTGGATAAGTTGTATACATTGGATAGTGCTATCCACTCTTCRTAAACCTGGGTGCTAAATGTAATGAACAGCACCAACCTGTTGATATGTTCAGTAATRTAGTTAAGAATTGAAATAGCTTTGACACACACAGTGAATTTGATATCATCATCTTGTCTTTGTAATTCCTGAAAATATCAAAAGTACATGACATGAGCATAAAACAGTCAAATTCTTTCATTTCTCACAGTTGTACAATGTAATACCATTTAACATCTTTTTTTTGTAAGAGAGGAGTCAGATATAATCTTGACCTATTCAAATTATCAATCCACATTTAAATAAAAAAWTTGTAATGTTTTAATGGTTGTCATTTAGTCCCCTATGCAGCTGCTATTAGTGACCTCATGCAAGACTCAATCCCAAAAGTAGCTTAGAACTTAGGGGAGTAAGCATGACGACATTAATATAGTGCTACACATAGGAGCCTAATCATGATTCTAAATGTAGATGACTTCTACAGTACCGTTAGATATATGGCTGCAAAATGGCATGATTGCAAAAATTGACAATGCTGTAGTACGACATTCTATAAACTGCAGTCACAGCTTATGAGATGGCTACCTATCCAATCAAGTCAGGCAAAATTTGCTGTGTAACTTACTTCGATACTGGGATTTGAACTTGCTGTTGTTTCTTTCTCTGTATCTGCTTCCTCTTGACTGGAATTAAAAAGTCCAAACTTGATTATTAAAATTACTTGATTAAATATCAATWAATTTTAGATAACTAATATTTCAGCAAGCTCCCAAGGAAATTCTTAACTTATGATTTTAGAAATGCTATTTGCTGGGTTCTTGGKATGTTTTGAACAAAAATGGTAAACAAAGTCATCAAATGTTAAACAAAGAGTCAAACCAAAATTCCAAACTAAAAATTGGGGCTGTGTCACCAAAGCCTCCCCCCATAAATCCATCAATGGTAAATAATTAAAGGCAAGAGAGAGGACTTCTATAGTCAAAAGTGGTAGAATACTACTGTAGTAGTATTAGTACGAGTAAAGTGTCCATAGTTACCTTGCTATCAAATGGGTCAGTTTTCTGTGACAATAATCTAGTAAATCTAGAATGCTTTCCTCAGCTGCTTCACAAGATTCCTGGTATTCAAAGAAAGTTTAAAAAAGAAWGCATGTTGATTTAAAGCAGACTGAAAAGACTTTGGCTAATCTAAGGTATAATCAAGGGTGGTGTAGTGGGTAGTGAACTCTGACCCTCTCACTTCTGGGGTCTTAATATGGTTCGATTCCTGGACTTGTCATCATAMGAGTAGAGTAATTGGGTCACTACATTCAAGAGTTTTTTAAATTGTGCACAGTTTTTATCTCTCTGCAGCAGGAAAGTTAACATAAGCATGCATTTTATCTCAAAGCCTATTTAAACAATCTCATGCAACTAAATTATGCATTGGATATGATTGGCCAAATAGCCAATTCAGGTGCACTTCAAAGGCCCACAACACTATATTAATAGGCATATACTTACCCTATGATATAGGACAGTCTCCAGTAAACCAATGAGGGTTGCTTCGTGAAATAACTAAGGAAAAGACAACATGCACATTAAATTGAATAACTGATAAAWACTAACACATCATCGAGTCAGTGTAATTTAGAAATTGACGAAAGTCATTTCAAATATCAATGTGACCCAGTTATATTAAAGTAAATTTTTAATAGTCGAACTCGGGTCGCATTGATGAGAGGTGAGCACTCTCACTGCTACGCYGCCTGTGCTTCCCTATTTTATAATTTAAATCCCCCTCCACCCCAATAGAACCTAAATCAGCAACTATGACGTCAATGAAATTTTATATTGCAGTACATATTTTATGGAGTTTATACTCACTGCAAAGTACAGGGGTAAAGTAGAAGCTGGATTGAAGTCTGACTGGACGATCTTGGGATATACTTTAGCCTTCCACATTTCAGTTGCAATCAACTCATGAATAAGAACTGGAATCTAGTTTTAATAATACAGTATGAAATGTAAAATCTGGAAATTTCCAAGCTCRAGTGATCTCAGACCAGACTTATATCCTCTTTTTGATAGTACAATCATATGATATATACTGTAAGGACTGTATAGTATTGTATAAAATACTTGAGATATAACATGTACCCTGATTGGATGGCTACCAAGCTTATATCAGAGGACATTATAGACATGCTCGCGCCAAGTGGTTCAAAAATATCTCCTAAAAGCAATATAAAACGGCTGCTTATGTCTCTGTACTGTGATATGAACACTCTGGGAGCTGTAGAGCACTTGAGAAGCAAGAGAAACACTCAGCCACGCCTCATGTTCCTAAGGTTGCTTCTCTTTTGCTCTACAGCTCCCAGCAGTGTGTTTATATCACATTACAGAGACATGCGTGCACATTTTATATTCCTTAAGTAGAAATACACATATATAAAAGGCATCTCTTGAATCCTCCTTAGGGAATGTGAAACCATGTGAAGTTCGTGACTCCGCTAATGAACATAATTTCCAAATGAGATAGGATATGCTGTCAAGTGAAACCAACAATAAGCTAAGATTACTAGTTACCTTTCCTAAAGTTATGAGATAATCTTTGATGTATTCATCTGTTTGAGTTGATGCACAAATAACTGCCTAGAAGTCAAATATGTAAGACTTTCAAGGCCCAGTTACACACTGTAACTTTTAGCTGAAACTTGTGTGCAACAGTATTGTGAGAAAAGTTTCACAGGGGTTGTTCTAAAACTCATATCGCCATGCTGTTGCACACAAGTTTTAGCAAAAAGATTCAACGTGTAACAGGTCCTTAAGATAAAAAGCTTTACTATTTATATATATATATATATATATATATGCAGGTAACCTGAATATTAGGAAGAGCATACACAACAACATTTTACCTGCATATTAAGTTTCTCTATAAATTCATGTTGTGTTAACCATCTAAATAATAATAAATAATGAATCTATCATTAATGATATGTAACAAAATTACACTGAATTAACTTGTTGACTTTAAATCGAAGTCCCCGGGCCCTCCCCTCTCTAATGAATATCGAAGCATTGACAACAGTGACCAATGGCCTCAGCTGTTATTTTTCTCTTTCTCCCCTAACTGTCTAAACGTTTTAACCTTGAGCTACCAGAATCATTTACTTGCAGAGCACTAATATTAACTTAGGATGAAACCAATAATGCAACTTAATTTTCAGGTATTTTTTGCAAATGACGGCCGCGTACATTGGTGTCAGAGGCCACTCAAAACAAATGCCTACACTAGACCAAACCATCCCTAACACATTCTAAATATCTCTTACAACTCAAAACACTCACTTTGGGCTCCCAATCTCTGCTATASGGAAAGTTTTGAGCTCCTGAACGTAAAGTTCAGCCTCGGAAGCCAAGAGAACTGTTCTCATATCCGCCATTTTGTTTTCTTTGTGAAGCCATGGAGATACCGCTGGCTAGACCATCAGCTGGCTCACTAATGGCGAATCCAAGATGGCGGACGAGGGGAAAAAAATAGACAGAAGTGACGCCAAGGTATTTGTTTGATAGAATTACGCTTTAAAAACCAAGCAGACATGCTCTTTTTAACTYCTTTAGATCAACCGCATCAATCTGTAACAATGTGCAAAGGATGGAAATCATTTTGTTGAAGAAAAACAAAAAAATCTGCGATTTGAAATTGATTGTTCATGTGAAATCAGGTCTGTGAAATCGTTCATTGGCAAAGCAATCAAAATCAAATGAAAGCGAACGAAAAAATTCGTTAATACTAGTCATATAAATTGTTAGGTTGACAAGGAATCAATTTTCGTGGTGATATTTAATAAGGAAACCTAAAATTTAATTAAGGCTGGAACTCAAGAAACAAGAAACCTTTGCATATATAAATAATTAATCATTCGATAATTTATAAGCTTAATTTCTCTTTAATTCTGTTAGAATGTAATCCCAAAGGCAACCTACATTTGCAAAGGAATCCTCATGGTTTATTCTTATAATAATTCTTTTTTTTCAAAAGGTAAATTACCCGAGTACAGTGTTTGCATGTGACCTCTCCAGTGATACAAGGTACATCAGATGCGACTTTCCACAATGCTCTGAACATGGAACAGCCATACAAGGTATCTACCATTTGCATCTAGGTTGTCATCAACCTTTATGTGTAGCAGGAATATTAAAAATTTTGCAAGGGAGGGATGTTATAGCTAGTGCTAGTGCTTATTAAAAAATCTTTTTTTTTTTACATGTAGGTCAAATCAAATAGTTCTAATCTGCTATATTAAATCATTTATTAACATCTTTTGTTTTTTAAAGCCAAGCCATCATGGATACTAAATACTTTGAGAAATGTGAGAACCTTGGAAAATCATGTTGGAAAAGAAGTTCATAATTTCATGAAAGCACACACCTCAGAATGTGTCTTCTCTGATACACCACACAAGATCGAAAGCCAAAAGATCATTGAGTCAAAAAGATTGCCAGTTGGAACCAAAAAGGTATTTAACAGTCAGACACTGCAGAGGCCCAGTGTTTTTAGTCAAAAAAGATTTTCTGTCATGAATTGCTTAAAGCTTCGATATTTGCATGACTTTAATGCAATAAATATGTTGCAATTGGCCCTCAATATTGGCCCTCAAAATATTGACCCTAGAAAGCACAGCACTGGAAATCCCATTTTTAAGAGCCTCAATGTCAAATTTTTCAAGGGGGTGAAAATGTTCCCCTGGAACCCCCCAGATTAGCCTCTTCCCCACCCCAAAGTATGCTTTGCAGTCCCAGACACTACATATAATCACACCGAGAGTTAGGTGGAGGGGCTTTAGCCTCCCCTCCTTTCAATAATATTTCATAAATATTCAAGTGTTAGCCCATCATGCTTGTAGGCATTTACATATCATTCCACCACATTTAAAGATCTAGGCCCTACTTTCAAGGGTGCTTCATATACAGTCATTGAATTACTGGTCTTGAAAGTGCTGGCTAGCTTTACATTTTTAATAACAGTCTAGCAGTATTTGAGGAACACAGTGTTTGAGAACCATGTCTCTCCACTCTTAATCGACTTAATTATTGATTGAATTTCTCTCCAGTTTTACAAATGTATAATACCTCTTAAACTTGTAGCTAAACAGTCTTTCCGGTGTTTTAGGTATTGGTAGTATTTAACCTCAAGGATTCCCAGTCACAGCTTGGAGAATGGCTTGATTTGTTCCTAAAAGCTGCATTCCTTGCTGAGTATGGTAAGCAATGCATGCATTTTCTAGATAGATATTGCACACTCCTTTTTCATTGACAATAATATGATTTTGCACATGAAAAATGGGGCGTTTCCRCACAATAATTTCATATCATTGAATTGCAGGAGATAAGAGAAGAGACTTTGTAGTAATCACCCAAGACTTTGTGAGTCGCTACGAATTAATTCAGTGTATTGCCAGGTTGGAGTTTCTCAAGTCATATTCTCCTAAAGGTAAACACACACAAAATCCTTAATCTGGATCTATCTGATTTATCTGAGGAAGAATCCTAAATGACATATGCTCTTGTGGTTATTTTACCCAGTTGACTCTGTAGCGTTGGTAAGGATTAGGGTGATACGTAAGGTGATCATTTTAAGGTGTTACTTGGGATAAACTGATCATTCTAATTAAACAATGATTCTATCCTGTAAACTATGAGGATGTTGATAAAAATCAAAGCTCTTATTTGCAGAAGAAACATGATCTTTAAAATATATCCCAAGAAGCRTAAACATTTGCCTCGTGCGCAGACATTCTTAGGGTTGGCATGTTCTTATGCTATGTTCTTCTCTTGTTCAACACTTTACAAACATCAAACACTGTTGTTTTTTTCTAGTTGAGGTTGTGGGTGTCCTGAGCAGTCATTCCAGTTGTCAAGGACAGGTTTTCTCATGTACACCAACCAGCATCAGTAAAGTACATGGCTTTGAAGAATTCTGTTCACTTCATGACTTGACATTAGCTTGTCAAGATGCATTTGGGGATAAACTAGAAGGACTTCATATATCGTCTTGTTTTACTCTCAAGCTAGACTGTTCTCATGAAGTGAGTATGTTATTAAATTGAGCTCTTTTTACTGTATTGAATATTCTACAGTCATCACTCTCCATAGGGGGCAATTCCGGGACGTTCACTCCATACACACACTTCCACTACATTCACATGTTGATTTTTATGGAGTGAAGAAAATCATAGAACCTGCAGATAACTCTTGTTAGAGAAAGAACCATCACATCAAGCAAACATATGCATTTCAGTCAAGAACCTTGAGACTAACCTTTGTGGCAAGGGAGAAAACAACACATCAAACAAAAATGTATGTGCTTCAGTCAAGAAGCTGCAGACTACATGTAACCCTTGCAACAAGTAATCAATACAACATGTATATTATACAATAACCRTATTGAGTACCCTGGGGGTCTGAACTTCTTGAACAGTTTAAGAATAATTCTTTGTTGGATGGATGTTTCAGGATTGGCCTGTAGATGCCAGCTGGTTCAAGAATAAACTCAAATGCGTTCTTACTGGTAGCACAAGAGAAGTCTATGAAACGGGTTCACAAATCTGTGACCTTCATCTTTTGATTACCACAATGTTAAGCCCTCCGATCGCCTCTTTCTCTGTTGATTCTTGTGGAGAGAGGTTAAGTAAAGCTGTCTTGAAAGCTCAGACTGAAGAATTCCCAGATCTTGCTAGAGAAATGGGTCTTGAGGTTGTTAATGGACAAATGTTGGACTCAAAGCTCCAAACACTGGGCAGTGATGATAAGGTAATCACTGCAAATTTATTTCTTTATTTTTTTCAGATAAGTAGACAGTGGGCTAGTAAGTCTATCAGTCAACTATCCCAGCAGAGTAATATACTAGCAAAGATATTTAGTATTTAAAAAACCTACTAGTCTATGGGCTAGTGAGTCCTAAATTTTACTAGCCTGGAGCAAAGATTTACTAGTCCCAGACTAGTGGACTAGCTTTTGTGTTGAGCACTGATAGCCTGTGGTTTGCAAACCTTTCCCATTTACTTCACGGTCATGTTTATTTTTGAGGAGTGAGGAAAACTGGAGAACCCAGACAAAAACCCTCAAGGCACAGGAGAGAATCCACAAACAACCAGAGAAAATGCCAGGCTCACCTCCAAACCCCTATAGCCCCTCCAAACCCCCCCCC